TAAAGTACGTTGTGACGGTATACAAGGACTCAGTCAGCTAGGAGTAGTAGTTTTGTTTTGTCGGAAAAGACCGAAAATCTAAGAAGCTTTACCAAAGGATAGCTCAGTTCTGTGATATACTTCAAAGATTGTGTATTTTGTGAAGATTTTGAGGCAACAGTAAGTCTTAAGTGTCAGTAGAGAGCTAAGTAATAGTCTGTAGTGGGCTTGAGCAATTTTTTAAAGGACAGTTATTCTATTGCCTATATGAGTAGCTCCACGTTGTTCAATAAAATAGTTGAAATTGTAGGAGTATAGTATTCCATATTTCGGTTAAGTCATACCTTAACAGGTGAATCTTGTAGGAAAGCGTGCTGGGTGAAAAGGGTGAAATCTCATTGATGTCTACGCTGAAAGCTCTTTCAAAGCCATTCTTACAAAAAGCAAAACAACACCAGAAAGAGGTCCAAAAAGACGACCAGTTAAAACCTAATTTAATAAACTTTGCAGGTTTATTTGTGTGTACGTGCCTGCTGTTCAAATTCTCTTCATGTAATCAGTTTAAAGTTACATGAGACAGTGAAAAAAACAGTGACTACAAAAGAAATCCCATTGAAGATATACCACTAAATGGTCCAGTGTTCTGTGTCACACAACTCTCCCAAGGATGTGACCGTTTGGTGAAAGCTGTAGGAACTAGAACTCCAACAACCTGCGTGGATAGTTGTAAATGTGGTAAAGCCAACCCAGGCTGATTAACCCTTTGACTCCCAGGGGTGATTAACTTGTTACTTCTACCAACAAAATCCATTCATTATCCAGGTAATGAGAATACTTAAACTTATCGGAAAGAAGTTGTTTTCCTGGTCTAACATCAAACCCTTTAAGCCAATTTATAAGGAAATATGAACCACCTTGAAGGGAGAATTAACAATCAGATCATGGAGGTTAAAGAGTTAAGTTGTGCTACACCCGTAATGAAACATGGGGAATTTGACAGGAAGGTCTGCTTTAAACACAAAAGTATAGGTTGTTGCTACCGATCAGAGCAGATTTTTAAATCTGAACTGATCGGTAGGATCCACAGTTAACTACTTAAAAGTATTTAACTGTGGATCCTACCATATATAAAAACTTGTCCAGCCACCAACTTGTGATCTGCACCACTGTGGTACAGACTGACGTTGAGAAAAAAAAACTCCATATAAAAAGAGGGTTTTATGAATCGCTATCTGAGTAGACGCCTATCACGAATTTAACAAATTTAATTTCTCATCATAATCATTACTTCCGTGATTCAAACTTTGATTGTAAAATTAAATTGTTGACCCGGGCGAGATACCTTGAATAGTCTGGTTGAATAGTGACCATCCTATTATATGAAATGGTGAAGTCCCAAGGTTGGTCCGCTTTGGCACGATTAAAACATTTGACCAGTGTTACTAGAACATTTATGAAAAAAAATTGTGACATCAGCTATATATACAAAATCGTTTTGAACAAGTTGTGAACTGTGCTTGAGTGTTCCAGACTAAATTTGACGCAAATAACTTTACGTAATGAGAGGATTCATATATAAATGCGTGCAGGTAGATGTGTACTCCCCTCAGTCCTCTCCTTATTAACATGACACGTGAGAATTTATGAGGTACGCAGATATTCTTTGAAACTTGAATCTTTTTCCAGGGTCAAATTAGTAGTTTAAGCACACAGCACAATATATCAGCCCATTGAACAAGGCGCGTTAAGAAAAGTAAATACAAAAAGTAAAGGCGCTTTGATATAAATAAAACTCTTTCAATTTAAAAAGAAGGGTAACACAAATTAATAAATAATCTATCTATGTTATTGTCTTGTTCCCTGTCTATTGTTAGAGCGTTTCTAGGTGGTCAATCCGGAAACCAACTCAGAATTATAGCATTAAGAGAGGCGCGCAATGAGAGTGAAAGTTCGTATTATATTTTAACATGTCTGAGTTTAGATGTCAACAAAAGTCAAGTTACCTGGGACTCGTTTACTTTTGAAATTTTATGGGAGCTATTGATTTTCTCTTCTTTAGCCAGCGGTTGGAACAAAGTTGAGCAGCCGTGCAGCAGGAACTGCATTCCAAGCTATCAAAAGTGAGCCAAACGTTTTATTTAAACGTTGAAAACTTTGAAAAGAATTAAGGAGGCTTAGCAGTTAACAAAGAGGAAACAGTTGTTTACTTCAAGTAACTCACTTGTATGAATGGAGTGCCATTGATTCTGTAATATAGATGCCGAAATAAAAGTCCGTATGAAAAACTAGATCTTTGTTTGTGAAATATAACTTTCTCTTAAAATTAGAAAAATAAACAAAACGTGAAGTAACTGACGTTGTTTCCCAATTTTCCTTCATCTCCAAGGTAATTCACCGGCTTCGTTTGGATTGAAAAGGAAGCAAAGAGGGTTGACAATCTCGAACTAATGAAAGTTGATAAAGTTGTCGGAATTTGGAAATAAAGTATACAAATAATAATTCTGTGTCCACAAATAAGATGACTTTCTCATCTTACTAACAGAGCATCAACAAAACTTCGGAACTTTTCCTCGATTTAAACTTGACGTGCTAAATTAAATTAAAGTGTCTTTATTGTTCAAAAGATAAAATTACATATCTTATGTTACATTAAAAAAAGGATGTAAATAAGCTTAGGTGTATCTAAATAAGATAAGTATATACGTGGAAACAAATACAAAAATCTAATACAGGAAGTACACTTTTACAAAGCTACATTGTACTTAAAAACAATTCTATTAAAAAATGTATTCTTAAAACGGTTTGTGCGAATGGCGGGCATGACAGGGGATTTATTTCTCAAATTATACCTCGTGGTCTTGGTCTCAGGGAAGTAGGCTCTAAGAGGATGGCTCAGGATAGTTGAAACCTTGCGACAAATTTTGTGATCTTGCGTTTTAAGTAAGTCACCTATCACTAATTTCTTAGATATGTAACTACGTTTAAAACGACGATCTAAAAACTGCTGGGCTATAGTTAGCTCTGACTCAGAGGCCCCATGCACAGATAGAGCATAAGTAATATTAGGTAGGACAATGGAATTAAATAAAACATCTACTTCTGCTTGGCTACATCCTTCTTTGCGGAGGCATCTGATAACGTATAAACATTTATTAGCTTTACCTAACTTTTCTTTTAGGTGAGTACTGAATTTGCAGTTCGGCTGAAACGTGAGACCAAGAATGGTTATTGTACTAGTCTGAGGTATGCCAAAAATACTTTTGTAGGCCTCAGCAGTGTGACCTTTTTTTATACATAATAAGCTCTTTACATTTAGTAGAATTTGAATTCATTCTATTTTGGCTTGCCCACTGTAAAAACTGATTTATTAAGTCTACAGAGTGATCTTTATAATAATATACCGGAGCAATAATCGTACAGTCATCAGCGTATTTGAAACCAAGTGTCTCGTTCCCTAATTTAATTTCCAGATCGTTAAGAAATATATTGAACAAATAAGGTCCTGAAACACTACCCTGGGTTGTGCCCTTGTTAACTGTTTTCCAATTACAGACATGATTCCCGAAAATAACTCTTTGTTTTCTATCTCGCAAAAAAACCTAACCACCAGTTTATGATATACGGGTTAAGTGGTAGACTCTTAAGTTTCTCAGCAAGGAGTTGATGGCTCACAGAGTCAAAGGCCTTACTGAAATCCATCGCGAACATCCGCACTGCCTTGCACTTGGGATCATCAAGAAACTTGCAGATCTTATTCTGTATAAGTAGCAGAGCATCTGTGCAGCTCCCTCCTTCTCTATACGCGAATTGACTATTCAACAGCTGTTCTTCTACCGGCCTTTGGGCGTGAATCTTATAGACTGCCTTTTCCAGGGCTCTTGCTATTACAGGGGTTACGTTGATCCCCCGGAAGTCCCCTCTTGCCACTGGAACATCAACTTTTGGCAGTGGGTTTATACTTGCCCTTTTCCACGATCTAGGCCATTGGTGCGTAGCGAGAGACAAATTCCATAGCTTAGTAATGATTGGAGTGAAGATCTCCGCATGGTCTTTCCACACCCAATACGGAATTTGGTCAGGACCAGTTGCAGTCTTCTTTAGAGTACTCAGTGAGTTCCATACATATCGTTCACTAATTTCCGGGACTTTCACCTCAGGACCAATTTCAAGTAACGCGGGCTCAACGTAATCGCCATCCGTACACAGGTCACCGAAATACTCGTTCAAATCTTGAGCGGTCTCTCTATCCAGCGAAACGTTTGTGGACCGCCGGCGTTGAGATATCAAGTCTACGTTTTACCACCATTCTCTGCTCCCCATTTTGCCCTCCAGAAGCATCCTTCTGTTTTCGCCAATAACCTTCAACACATTTCTACTAAGCTCTCTATGCTTATTAGTGCGTAAAACAGAGATGCGAGACTTGCTACGTAGCATGTATTTAACTAGCGGTGTCATCCAACTTGGATCACGGGACGAAAGGGAAACCGTTCGTAAAGGCATGCACCAGTTAATATTTGACAGGATCTTCAATTCTAAGATGTTCACAGCTGTTTCGATACTATCCGCCTCCAAAACATCATCCCAGCATTCTGATGCGAGGGCAAGGTAAAGAGCTTGCTTCCTATGCTCACGACAATCCCTAAATTGCACTTTCTTACGAATAGGCTTGAGTTTCTTGCCCGCTGGAACTATAAATCCAATGTGATCCGTCTTAATCAGCATCTTTATAGATAAAGCTTTTCCGAAGAGCTCTGGCCTATTTGTAAGACAATTATCCAAAATGAATCCCCTCGTGTTGGAAAATCCACTAAAGCGGTCCAACCAGTAATGCGTTTAAGTCTCGTGAGATCAAGGTGATTAAGATCGCCACCGCAAACAATAGTAGCGTTTGGGTGATTATCCAGCATTGTGTCAAAGAAATTAAGAAGATAATCCATTAAATCGCATTGCTGGTATGATGTTTTCGGGGGTGATAAAGACCAGATAAAAGAATGTAATTCCCACTTGGCAGCAACACACAGTCAGGCAAATAAACTCGTATAAATTAGAACGATAAACATCAATAACTGAAAGATTACTCCTTGTATAGATAGCAACACCTCCCCATTCCTTAGATCGCATCCAGACCAATTCCTATCCCTTCTGAAGATATTATAACCCGAGATATTAACCACCGTATCGGGTACCTCAATTTTTAAATGAGTTTCCGACACAACACAAGCATCGATGTCATTATTTCTTAAGTCGGCCTCCAAAGCCACAACCGCTCGCACCCGACTAGTTGTTTTCCCCAAACTACAGATGTTAATAAACAAAAGTTTAGGGACAGCAAGCTGACCAGAACTAACAGAGGTGTGTTCGCGGGACACCACTTGTTTTGGTACACTGACGAGATTGCTAGGGTTTCGTCGTTTTTCAACCCGCAGCCGGGGAATAGCAAACCCACTTTCCGCCCTTCGTCCAATGACGACAGAAATATTCTGAATAGTTCTCTCCTTCACATGCTGAACATTTTTTTCTCAAACCTCCCCGATTACCACGAAACCTGAGCAGCTGTAGTTTCTTAAGCGTCTCTAAGACAGGGCTCGAAGGTTTACCAGATTTCTTTCTCAAACCGAGTAAATAGTTTCTTCCATAACATGGAATCTTACTTTCGTCAGACCAGGTTTGCTTTCGTAGATCATAGCTCTTCTCTGAAGAAATAGGACCAGGGTTCGTCTCCACATCCATAAAAACTGTAATGTCTATCGTTAACAGGGAGCAATCCGTCGCCGCAAGCAGTATATAACCATGTTTAACCCATTTCATGATAGGCCTTCGAAGTTTATCATGGCGGTGCGCCCTTGTTGAGTAGCACTTACGAGCTGAGAAGGAAATTCCAAAGACGTCGCAACCAACCGAACTTTTTCCTCTCCAAATAGGCTTGAGAGAGTCAAAGTCTTCATCCAAGTATATATTGTAATAAAATTGAAGTTTAAAATTGATTAAAATAGCTAATAGAAGAGGAGCCAATATCCTCGTGGCCGCCATACTCGGCGCCTGCGCAAAAGTTCCCCTGAGAACAAGGGAGAACAAGCTTTGCACCTGTTCCTTTTTCAGACACCTAATTAATTACTTCAGGCCACATCCCTTAAGCCATGTCCATCGGCCTCATTGACTGCAAAGGAAGGGTATAAAAAGGATATTTTGATCCTCTGGGATAACAATTTCACCTGTTCCTTTAGTCGATCATTATGTAGTCAAATAAATTTCAAAACCTAGAAGTGCGATTATAACACTGTGTTTACAATTATCTTATTAGCGGAATATTTCGCATTCGCTCCATACAAGGTAATCGGGATTCTGGAATCCGCGAAACTTTTACTAGTGGAATCCGGAATACTGGGCATTGGAATCCAGAATCCAGCCTTTGTAATCCAGAATACCGCTAAAGAATGGATCCAGAATCCATTTGCTGAAAATCCACTTCAAATCGTATTAACGGCTTTCATGCACATCCATGCGACCACGGTCGTGCTAAAAAGCAGACCTGCAAATCGTGCAGACTACGCAGACTGTACAGACCATGTAGAGCGCGCTTTGTTCGCTGGAGAATTTCGACTGTTACAGCTCGCGAGAAACTGACAAAATCATTCATGACCCATCACCCAATCGATACTGACATGGCTAAAGTTCCCTACTAGCTAGTAATCAGTCTTCTACTCCGATTCAAAAACCTTATCTCCTGATAAAGTTCGGGCTGATCTCCATGAGCCCGAGAAACTTGAGCCTGCGAGTCTGTTTTGCTAGGTAACGAGAGCTCGAAATAACTTGATAAAATTTCGTCATTTGGTGTCCAAAAGAGTGCAGTTCACTCACGTGGTCAATGGGTATGCAAATTTGAAGGGAAAAAAGAAATTGTTTACATAACAAAAGCGTTCAAATCCCACAAGATTTGCTTGGAACACCGACATGGCGAAGGACCACACCTTTCCAATTACGATAAACTTTGAACAAAGATATATATGGATGCCCATGGAGCCGGGAGAGGTCTATTTCTAAGTCGAATTTTCACCATTTAAACGTAAACCGCTCTCTTTGATATTTGGCATTCGGAATGACAAATTTGAAGATTTCATAAAGCACCATATCTCAGTGCGAATAAAAATAAGATATTACCAGATTTTAGGGTCAAACAACATTCTCTAGAAAAGAAAATAGCGGCGGGCCACCTTAAACCTTTAAAGAATCGTTGCTCTGGAAAATTCATAGTCGACGCAAAGTGAATAGAAAATAGCGGCGGGCCACCTTAAACCTTTAAAGAATCGTTGCTCTGGAAAATTCATAGTCGACGCAAAGTGACTTTGAAGAAAAAAGGAAGTATAGGAAAGAGAATCTGGAAAATGATTGGAAAAAACTGATGATGAAAATGATTGGAAAAAAAATTTGGAAAATTACCGTGTAAATGCAGATCTTATAGCTGAGTTGGTTGAACGCCGTTCTATGCGCGATCTCGTAATGTCGAACATCATCGCCAATTACATAAAGGGAAACAAGCTTTTCTTAGTCATAGTCTGCGATTAATTTGCGACATACACGGGTTGTTATAAAAATTGTATTTCAGTTTAAATTTTTTCTTAATTTGGTCTTTTTTTAAAAGGAAAGTTAAAAAAGTAATTTCAGATGGAATCCGGAATCTGCAGGGGTAGAATCCGGAATCAAGCACCTGGAATCTGGAATCCACAGCGTGTAATCCAGAATCTAGTACTGTCCTGGATTACCTTACATGGGGCGATTTCGCATGCTGTTCACTTGATCGAACTTAGTTAACACATTTTCAATGAGTTTTATTTACATTTATCAGACTGAATGCCGCCTAAGCTAAATTCTGCATGCAAAAGAAGTAAACGATCATCACCAACGATGATCCTACATAGCGCCTCAATTTAGTTTTGACCATGACTTCTTCCAGAAAATTTTACTTCTTGGTAACCCTGTTGTCTTTATTGATAATTGAAGTTGCGGGCGAAGAAGGTGAGTTGTAATTTTATTTCCTCCGAGCTGATATAAAATTATTACAGTTCAACTTGGTTAGAAGCACATTCGATTTCATATCCTTTATTTTCAGTTTTTTTTTCCATAGATATAAAGGTTACAAAGTTAACTAGACTTAAGACCATCCAGCCTAAACTTACTCAACAAAACTCTAAGATAATTGTTGAAATATCTTTTATGTCATGTGAACGATGAGCCAAAGGCCGAAGTGTTGACTTTTGATAAAAAAAATAACACATTTTTTTTCTTTTTAGTGTTGTTAAAACAACCCAAATTCTAAGCCGCCAATCACAGTCCACGCAAGGCATAGAAATGCATAACAAATGCAGGTCTCTCTTCTGTATGATGAAAATTTAAAGTTCTGTTACAATGCAAGGACAGGAGAAACTAGTGGGTGACAAAACTCCCCGCTATCGTGAGGCAACAAGACTCTTCTTCAGTCTTCTCTTCTTGTTCTTCACTTTACGCTAATCACCCTGAGGGAGTTTCTCTCTCTGCGAGTAATTAAGCAAAAGTTTGAAGTTCACAGCAGGCATGGACTTAATGTCTCATCCACATGAATTGAACTAACTAGTGAGATCACCAAATCAAAGATATCAAAATGCTCCCTCAATCAAAACAAAAAAAAAGAGGGTTTAACTGAAACTGGCTTCTTATAATTAAAATCAATGCTGGAATGTTGCCTCTTTCAAACTGGGCCATTGCCCGATTATACCAAGTTATCGGTATGCTAAGAATTCCTAGTGTGTGTCTTTAAAGATGCACATTAGCAAAAGCGAATTAAAAAATATTGGATTCAATAACAAATAAAATATGGAGTCGTAAAATGCCCTAGACGCATTAGAAATGGTTTTAACTTCAAATAATTCTCATTTATAATGAAATACACGATTCAGTGAGTTGTCCTCCAATTTTCTTAGTCGTAAACTATATCCATACTGCTACAGTGTTGTAAGTAAATTGAATTTATAATTGTAATAGGACCAAGTGGAGTCTATTTTCACTCACTCGTGAGTATAATTAAAGACCGAATTGGATGACACAAAGTCCCGTTGCCAATTAATCATAACCATTACAATTTAAGAAAAAAAAACAAATACATGTACGTTTACTTGAGAAAATATCATCGGTTGAGACACTGATTTGTAGGGTAAGTGGTTGTTGCTACGGTTATTGTTATCAACTCTGTAATTCGAGGATTTGGCGAAGTGATTGGCTGCTTTAACTGTCCGATTACAGATGTCCAATTAAAGTCGACTATCCCGTTGCACTCTACAGAATAATTAGTCCCTAAAAACGCAACTGGTTCTTTTCCTGTCTAGATGTAAACCATAAATGGTGCTCTCATCGAATCCGATTCAATTTCCAAAAGATTTCTTTCGCAAGATGGAATTTAAATCTTCTCTCGCATTCCTTGGCAAACGGCTCATAAACCACTTCATACGAACCGTAGAATCCCCTGTGCAAGACTTCTGCCCAGCTCTATGCTATATGGAACCCAACTGCGTAAGCTATAACGAATTAGTGACCAGCAGATCTTCAAGAATTCCAAATCTGGTACAGCGAGGACTTGGTTATTTGGTTATGGCGATAATGATACGAAAAAACGTGTGTTGCAGCGTATGGTTTGTATGATTGAGTTGTCAGCAAAATTAGAAAGTAAATTGAAGAAGAGAGTAGCAAAACTGTTGTTCATGCCTTAATTATACTTCAATATTAGTTAACTGCAACTCACTGCTATATGGTCTACCTCAGCATCTACTTTCAAGATTACAATACAGCAGCTCAAATTGTTACACGTACTACGAAATTTGATCGTATGACCCCTATCCTAAAAAAAAGCTCCACTGGCTTTTTGTCCTCCCGCTATGGTTTACAAACTCTTTTACTGGTCTACAAAGCTATCAGTGGAACAGTGCCTTGCCACATAAGTGACTTTCTTGATTATCGCATCTCAAAAAGGGACACTAAGGTCCTCTTCTCGATACCTTCTGGCGACCCCGAAAGCGAGATTAAAGACTTATGGAGAGAGAACGTTCGCTGTGGCGGCACCAGGACTATGGAACTCGATCCCACTCAAAATAAGATCTAGTTCCTCAATTGATAATTTTAAAAGATATTTAAAAACGTATTTTTTTGCATGAGAAATATGTGTAATTATTTTTTCTCAGTTCGTGAGCTGGCGGTTTTCTACAAATCCTGCAATCTAATTGGTTTCTAGAGTGGGCAGTATACTCCCCATCCGGCCCGCTCACGGCGAGCGGTATCCGAAAAAATGTTGCGAAGTTTTCTTGGAAGCCTTTTAAATCACCTTTTACAATCATTACGCAAATGAATATGTTCTGATGAAACCTCTCTCTTTCATTTGCATTGCCCTTGTTTTCTCTACCATCTACTCGTTCATAAATTGTTCCGTTTATGGAGAATCTTGCCGTAATTACAGCCCTTTATCATTCAGGTTCTTTTCGCAACCATTTGTTAGGTTTTAGAAAAAATAAAAATATTATTCACCAGCCAAGGTCGGTCCGTATTGGGAAAAACTGTGCCCTCTGTCTTGAGTACCGCCCTCAGCCTACGGCCTCGGGCGGTATCCAAGACCTTGCGCACAGTTTTCCCCAATACGGACCTCCCATCTGGTGAATAACATATATTTATCATTGAATTTTTAAATTAGTTTATTCCTATATATTATTATTTTTTTCTCTTTTCCCCCTTTCTTTTAGTTAGTTAATAATCTTAATGTAAAGCGCCATTGACAATAGAGGATTTGGATGTATAAATATCTTATATTATTATCACTTATAGTAATCTATGGCTTGATTCAGCGATGTGAATATATGTAATTATGACATCAGTAAAAACAAATTCTCTACCATCAGTGACGTCACTCTCTTCGATTCAAGAATGAAGGAAAGGAATGCTTTTCCTGATAAAAGTCTGGCTTGGAAACGAGAATTCAAAACAATGACTTGTGTGATTTTACGATATGCACCCTA